CGTGCTGAGGCGGATGCGGGGCCGGGGTCACGGCCGGGAGCGCCGGGCAGGTGACGGAAGCCGCGTCCGGGGAGGGCAGAGGACGGTCAGGACCGCGGGGAGGGCCGCGGGGAGGGCCGCGGGAAGCCACCTGCAGGACCTGGATCGGGGCCGAGCCCTCAGGCAGGCGGGAGGACCGGGAGGCCGAGGCGGGGCCGGGGCCCGGGGGCCGGGCCGGTGCGGCCGGTGAGGACCGCGGACTCCCGGCCCGTCGTTTTCGTGGACGTTAAAACAGTCCCCGGGGACGGCGGGGAGGGAAACCGAGCGTCGCTCCTGGCAGCTGCCTCCCGGCAACTCGCCCTTGCCCGGCGTCCTGTGAGCGGGCCCGGCTCCTCGTCACCCGGAGTGGGCCCGGGGCCGAGGACGGGCCGGACCCGAGGCCCGGGGCCGGAGGGTCGGGGTCCCCGGGGTCCCCGGGGCCGAGGACGGGCCGGACCCGAGGCCCGGGGCCGGAGGTCGGGGTCCCCGGGGTCCCCGGGGCCGAGGCCGTCACAGCCGTTTCTTGGTCCCCAGACACTATTAGGTGGCAGGAAGGAGCCGAATTATTTTATGAAAGGACAGGCGAAGCCACGAGTTCGTTTTCGTTCTTTGTGGTGCTGGGAATTGAACCCAGAGCCCCCGATGCTCTACCACTGAACCACATACACCTCACTCTCCAAGCTGATTATTTTACGCTTGTTTTTCAAGACCTCTACGGCAGTGGCATTTAATTTTTATGGTAAAACTGGTGTGTATGGAGACTTTCAGTTAAAACGTGTTTGTATTTACCCCTTTCTAAAAAAACACCCTAAAAGGCAAGTTAATCAGCTTATTGGTATTAAAATAAATCGGCGGAGTGTAATATGTGTTTTTTAAAATGAGAGACTACAGCAAACCAGCTTGCAAAATTAGGCAATGATGTGTTAATCTATTAACAGCTCATGTGTGCTTGTGAACATTCCCTTTTGTCTGTGTTCCTTAGCATCCTTAGCAACAAGGTCAACATACCAAGTAATGCTAGGGAAAGTTAGGCTTTGCCAATAGTATATGAGCAAGCCAATGAAACCAATTTTATAGTAATCTCTAATGGTAAAGTTTCTGTGACCTGATTTATGGGGGAGGGGGAATTGGCATAAAGGTGATGAGATAAAAATAAACGGAAGTAGAAATATTAGGTAGACGTACAAGGACACACGATCTAAACAATCATCTTTCAATCCTATGTGAACCCAAAGCATCTTTTCCATAAAGCATCTCAGGGGTCATGGCAATAACCCTTTGAAACATATAGTAAGGATTTACTAGGAACCAAGCTCTTAATTTAGGGGGTCCAATTAACTCTTAGGTTTGACTCAAGCCAAATCTCCCCCACTCCAGTTTTCCCAAGATGGCATCCGTTAGGTGGTCAGCTAGCCTTGCTGTGAGTTGCTCGGTGGCAAGATTCAGATTGCCACCAAATCTTTTGTTGACCGGTTTTTATTCTTGTTCTTGTGCTGTTGTTTAGTACTGAGCAAAGATTGGTCTTCCTATAATGTCAACTAAAATATGTTCCTCTTCCAGTAGCACTCTTTGTATCAAAGAAGTCATTTGTCTTTTTATTTTTTTCAGTAGTAGGGCTTGAACTCAGGGCCTGGGTGCTGTCCCTGAGCTCTTTGAGCCACAGCACCACTTCCAGTTTTCTGGTGGTTAATTGGAGTCTCATGGACTTTCCTGCGCAGGCTGGCTTTGAACTGCAATCTTCACGTCTCAGCCTCCCAAGAATCTAGGATGACAGGTGTGAGCCACGAGCACCTGGCAAAGAAGTCATTTTTCAAATTTTATAGCTGCCCAAGATAAGATCTAGGAACAAACACAACCCCCATTTATAATTCTAGCTCTGAAAAACACTCTCTTCTCTCTCCTTCCCTTACTTTCCAAAAGGTGGACTCTGAACCTGTTTTACTCTACCCATGGCTCCTACTGAACAGGATAATAGGAGGCAGGTAGGTAGGTAGATAGATAGGTAGGTAGGTGGATATTCAGAGGAATGGACAGAAAGATAGACGATAGATAGATAGGTAGATCCATCCATCCCTGCACATCTGAAATACAGCCATCAAAGTACTGTCCATAATTATCCCCTATTTGGCTTTATCCTGGCTTGTTTATAACAAGCCCTTGGAACCTGGAAATAAGAATCTGCTTTCAAGCAGCCATTTGATTTCCTCAATAAGCTGCATTCAATTACTCAGGCTGTTTATGAGCTCTAAATCAGATGTATTTCTGTACAGAGAAAAGCAATCATTTGTCCAATTGGCCTTGCTCATACACACAAAAGGATGCAGTAAGAGCCTGCAGATACTATAACAAGGTTCTTACTTGTTGAAATTTTTGATAAACAGCAATGTCAAGATTTCAGTAGTCACAAAAATAACAGAAATGTAATTTTTTTAGGTCATGCTTTTGCTAGTCACACATGTAAATATCAGCCAACTGGTTCTATTAACAAGAGTATCCCCTGTTAACTTTTATATTTTTTCAAGATGAATAATAATAAACTAATTCCCAAGCTTTCCGTTCACTCTCCTGTCCATCATGCCAACTTAAGCATCCAGTCTTCAGATCCACCTTTTAAGAAAGACTTAAATCAGATTTCAAAAGACTCCTTAGAATCAGATTCAGAAAGCCTCACCCAAGAGATTAAGTCCCAGTCTGAAGTTGAGGGCCAAGACCAGAACAAAGATATGGAGCCTGACAGCTTAGAGGAAGACAACCCTGACCAGGAAAGCCTGAGTGAGACAGAAGAGGAAGCAAGCAGAAAAGCAGCTCAGATGGCCAAAGAGAGAGACTTCCGCCTTGGGGACAGGTAAGGAACTGGCTTGTGTTCGGCACTGTTGCTGATGCTCTCCCAGAGTGTGTGACACAGCTCTCTGAGCATCTAGGGACAATGTGGCTCTTCTTAAATTAAAAAGTAGAAGCTGGGCGCTGGTGGCTCAAGCCTATACTCCTAGCTACTCAGGAGGCTGAGATCTGAGGATTGAGGTTCAAAACCAGCTTAGGCAGAAAATTCTTATCTCCAACTGACCACCAAAAAAAAAAAAATCCAAAGGTGGAGCCATGGCTCAGGTGGTAGAACACATTGCTGTGGATGTCAAAAAGTACAAATAATTGGGGGCAGAATCCTACCTCACTCCCTTCTTCAGGCTAGTGGAAGTCCATCTCCAGGTCTTGTCTGATCATACACAGATTTATTTTAATAATCAAGATGCATGTATGAGACTTAACTGTATGCCATGAGCTGCCTAACAATGGAAGGGAATATAAAATAACGCAGCAATATCTCTTTGTTTTAATAAAGTGCTAGATGATTTGATAACGTGCAGAAGGTATTAAAAACTATTGGCTAGAAAAGGGGAGAGAAGTGGGGAAGAGAGAGAGGCATACCTTATGAGTTTGAATACTGCTTCTGCAACTTACTAGCTGTGTGGCCTTAGCCAACAACACGTAATGCCATTGGGTCTCAGGTTCCTTGTCAGTAAATATGGGGTCCTGATTACCTTACTGTAACCCCTCTGTACATCACCTTTACAATAAAAAATGGGAACAATAATAATAATAACATTTATAGAGATACCATAAGGACACACACACACACAGAGTTGTGCTTGGGTCATCTCCAGTTGCCATTTTGCCCCATGCCCTGTGCACACCTTATGTGGCCCTTAGAAACAGAGTTTCATTAAGGTGTGTGCATCCAGATGTTTGCAGGCTGATTCCCAGGAGAATAAGCATCTTCCACAGCACCCACAGGGCCTGGGAGCTCCCAGGCCTCACAGTCCCCCAGACTTTTTGACATCTGCTACTCTGTCAAGCTCATGTGTATAGCCAGAGGAGATCAATATATCCACATTCTTTGGCTACTGGTTCATTTTAGTTAACAAAATATTGTGGGTTTATTTCTGTATTTGTAAGTGTGAATTTGCATTGTGCTACAGTATTCCACTGCCTAGAATATGCCATGATGTGATCATCCAGTTGCCCAGGCTGGACATTGTAATATTGGAATACCCCCAGTTGTGTTTTGTGGGGTATGCTTTAACTTTGGTACTCATGAAGAGCTTGGCAGAGCCTGATTAAATGTGAAAGTTAAAGGAATAAACCAAAGAAGGCATGGGCCTAGCCTGGCGCCTGTGGCTCACGCCTGTCATCCTCGCTACTCGGGAGGCTGAGATCTGAGGATTGAGGTATAAAGCCAGCCCAGGCAGGAAAGTCCATGAGACTCTTATCTCCAGTTAACCTCCAGAAAACTGGAAGTGGCGCTGTGGCTCAAGTGGTAGAGCACTTGCCTTGAGCTGAAGAGCTGAGGGGCAGTGCCCAGGCCCAGAGTTCAAGCCCCAAGATCAACCAACAACAATAACAGAATGTCTGTCAGGATGTCATCTCTGTGCTGAACACCACAGGTATTATCTCATTTAATCCTTATGCCCCAGCCTGGGAAGGAAGATACTGCAACAATCCCATCTGAGAGGTTTCAAATGAGGTTTCAAGAGGTTGTATTAATGCCCACCCCTTGTGTCTACTGAGGGCCCAGGCAGAAAGCTCAGGTGGTCTGACTCATGCTCTCAACCTGTTTTCATCCTGGCTCTAACCAAAGAGCTTCATCATCTCCTCGGTAGTAAATGGTAGTCGCTTTATTTACAGAAATGGGAGCATGAGAAAGAAAAAAAAATCCCCTGCCTTGTACAAAGTATTTCTTATCTGTACTTTTAAAATGAAGAAACCAAAGCAGGAATCCATTAAATGACTTTACTTCCCCAGGAGTTCAGAATGGTTTTCTTTTGTGTATTGCTAAGGGACCCGACTTTAGTCCTGTTCTTTACCAAAGGACAATTTACTACTTAATGTTTCCAAAATAGAGAATAATGCTTACAGAAATAAAATTTCCAATTAGATTCTTAGTCTTGTGATTCAGAGGTCCTTGGATAATGCTGTTTTCTTCCTCCTGACTTGCCTTGGAAGTGTTTAATGATAGCCTTTACGACACAGGGCAGGGTTAAAGTGGATTTTTAACTCTAGTCATTGTTAAAGGGTTGTGCTTTATTCATTGGACTTGGGAGGGTCAGCTCCATATGAGGAAGGGACACAGAGGCAAAGCATTTGGCCAAATACTGAACGTCTCACAAATGTAATTCAGATGCAGTTGGATATTGGCCTTTTTCTCTGCCTTAAGTCTAAGGAACCTTAGGTGTATTGTTCATGTCTGAGTAGTTATGAGCTGTGATACAAATAAATTGATCTCAAGCTCTCAACGTGAAATTCAAGTAGGCTTTCATTTCTGTGAGGGTAGGTGGCATTCTGGGGATTGTAGTTCAAAAAGAATTAGTCAAAGCCTGGCCTTAAACCCAACAAATCTCTTTCTTCTTGCTTTTATAAGCAATAATTTTAAAAGCTGCCTGGCAATTCACTTAGCCCTACTCTTGTGTTTTGATGTTACCAGAACCTCCCAAAGTGAAAGCTATAGTTCGGTGTATATGGATTATAGAAAACCTTTTACTTAATAGAAATTGGATCAGCCTGGACAGTACTGAATGAGGGAAGAGTGGAGAGAGGATCTTCATGTGACAGTCCTTAACCCACTCCAGAACAAGCCTTATGACACTCAGCACTCATGAAGAAAGAGCTCCATGTAATGCCTAGGGCACCAAAATAACCTCTTCAGACCTGGAGCCATCTGAAGGCTTCTACTTCGGGTTCTTGGTTGTTTGTTTTTTTTGGGGGGGTCTGGTCATGGGGCCTGAACTCTGGGCCTGGGCACTGTCCCTCAGCTCTTCAGCTCAAGGCTAGCGCTCTATCACTTGAGCCACAGCGCCACTTCTGGAATTTTTTGCTGATGTGGTGCTGAGGAATCGAACCCAGGGCCTCAGGCATGCAAGGCAAGTGCTCTACCACTGAGCCACCTTCCCAGCCCCCCTTGGTTTCTTTTTATCAGCAGCAGCTCACTGCCCAGGGTGTGTCTAAGGCATCTTGTCAATAGGAATACATATACAATTACTAATATTTGTAAGACAGTTTATACTACGTATACAATCTTGTTCTCCTTCCACAAGTCTCTGAGAAAGGTACATGCAGAGTATGCACTCTACCACTGAGCCCTGAGCCATTATTAACCCCTTTCTATACATAATGAACTAAGACTTCAATATGATGTAGTACATGTAGTTGCAAAGTGGCAAAGTCAGACATTGAATTGAATTCTGTCCTAACCCCAAAGCCTAAACTTCTAAGTATCAAAGTAGGTAGTCGTGGATTGAGCTCATAAAGGATTTTTTTTTTTTTTTGGCCACTCAGGGCCTGGGCACATTCCGTGAGCTTCTTTTGCTCAAGCCTAATGCTCTACCACTTGAGCCACAGCACCACTTCCGGTTTTTTCTGTGTGTATGGTACTGAGGAATCGAACCCAGGGCTTCACACATGCTAGACAAGCACTCTACCACTAAGCCACATTCCCAGCGTAAAGGATTCTTGTGCTCTCTTGTAAAGATTAAAGCTACAACAACCCCAGTACCAACTAAATATGCATGTGATATTAAATCTTGGTGAGGAAATACAATTGTTTGAAGGATACCATGTCCTCACAGTAGACACTCACGCCGTTTCACATGAGTGCTGCCGTCCTGCTAGCCTTTGTCCTTCAGCCCCTCCCACAGGAAGCAAACCCATTGGCTTCCAGGGGGCTCTGCCAGGGTCCACAGAGGGCCATATCCTTTCCAATAAACCTCCTCGTGCTAGAAATTGATGGGAGAGGGGACGGGAGAGGGGACAGGAAGGAAGAGAAGGAAATTATGGAAGGTGAATGATACCTAAACTCAATGCATCTGTGTATGTGAAACAAATGAAACAGTGAAGAATTGTTTGCTAAATTGAATCTATGAGCATTGTCTGAAAGTAAAAAAAAAAGACGGTAACAATAATTTGCATTTTTATTGTTTTATTTGTTCCTCTCAGATGCTTTTAGAATGTGTTTCTGATGAATCATGTGAGATGATTTATGGGCCTTGAAGAGGAGTGCTGGAGAATAAACTCTGGCGCAGTGATTCTGAGCAGGGCTTCCTGAGCACTGAAGCTCAAGGGTTACATTCCTTCCCAAGTTTCCCAGGAAATCTAGTAGAACATTGTGAACATTTAACAGTTAAACCCAGGATAGCTCACTACCCTTTACAGGTATTGTAGATTTGTCTTTGTTTCATTTTTGTTTTGAGAGAGAGCGAATAAGGAAAGGCAGTTGAGGCCAATTCTAATAGTCTAGGCAATATTATTACCTTGAGAAAATTATTATATCTGTTGTTGTTATGAAGAACACTCTAGTAACTTCCAGAAGTCAGCTTTCATTCTTGTTGATTCTTCCATGTTGATCTCTCATTCCTGTTACTGCCTGTAGATTTTCGACTTAAGGCCATTGTTGGCTAAGCTTTTCTAATACATGAGGTGCCATGTTCCAGGAGATTCCATACAGTATTTGGGGAATAGCTGCTAGCATGTAGATTATCTATTCATGTCACAGGAAAATACTCAAAGTGACTTTTGGCCTAGGTTTTGGGTGTTTCTGCTTTATGTTCCTTGTAAACATGCCTTAGTTAAACCCTGGCACCTCCTTGGGGCAGGCGTGGTGCCACTGTGACAGATGAGCAGTCGTGGGGAGGGAAACCGTGTGCCTGGGCATGAGCTGAGTCTATTAAAGGCAGAGTCCCAGCCAGAAATGCTAAGGCCGTGGTGACTCCTGGGGCTTGCTGCCCCCAGGGACAGCCACTCGCTCCTTATTTATTGCAAAACTAGGTTGCTTTTTTTTTCCTTTCCTGTTCCTGAGGCTTAGACTAGGCGTGG